GGTTTAATTTTATATTATTTTAAAGGCTTAATTTTAGGTTATTTTAAAGGGCTTAAAATATAAAAAGTACTTTAGCTTTATTATTTAATTAAGCTATATTAATATATAAAGAATTAATTAATTAAATAAGGATAATATTAATTAAGGGATTTTTATTATACTTACTTATTTATTATATTTACTTATTATATATATTATATTAATAGTAAATATTTATTTAGCTATAATATAATATATACTAACTAACTTAATAATACTTTATAATTACTTAAACCTTTATACTTATATTATATTAAAGGGCTTAATATATAAGTACTAATTTCGCCTTATAATTATAAAATAATATATTTAATCATTATTAGTTAATTAATTTAAAAAAAATAAAGATTAAGGGATTTTTTAATATATTTACTTCTTTAATATATTTATTATATATATATATTTACTAGCTACTATTAAGGCCGCAAGAAGCTACGCCAGGGGCTAATATAACAGACCTTATTTAGATAGCTAGCCGTATAGATATTTCACGTGACCTGTTGAACCGAACCTATCATGCACACGCACTTCGGATACGGGTTACGAGCCTCGGAAGGGATAAATAAGGTCATGTGACTAAGGCTAGTCTCAAAGAGGGATAGCGCAAGGCATCAGATGAAAAGAGGGGAAGGTCAGATAATGCCACATCAGAAAAAGCTCGATCAATCAAGCAATTGAGGCCACAGCCGGTTCAACAATTAAGAGTCTCAGAGCTGTACTTCTCTTCAAGGCAGCTGTAACTATCAATACGAGCGTCAAACCGACCAAACCAACCTCGATAACAATATACGAGCCGCGACAAGATGGCCTCTATCGCGAACACGAAGAACATATACCTCCTGAACGGACCGAACGACTGGGACTCCTTTGAACAGTCCTACATCATGAAGATCTCGGCAGAAAGGGTCTACGAGCTAGGTCGACTAGACGACCTAAGCCAATTCAACACCCGCCGCATACAGACACCAACGAGACCCGAAATAACCAACTACCTCGCAAGAGCAGGACCTGAGACCAGATCAGGGACCACGAGGCTCGAAAGAGGCGAACGCACCGCGACTACAGTCAGCGAACTACACCCTGAAGACCGGAAGTCATATCAAATAGAGATGGCTCTATATCAACAAGATCAACGCGATTACAACAAGCAAGCAGATGGGATTGGCAATGTGCTCAATTGGATGATTGAGAAGATCAATCCACACTACGTTGAGACATGCTCCCCTGCTGCCAATGGATCAGACGAGTACGACAATATATCGAGGTTCTACTCGAATCTCAAAGCCGCGTGTGGCATAGACGATGCCCTAAGAAGGAAACAAGCTCGGAAACGGTATTTCGAAGTGCTAAAGGTAGCTTCGAGCGGCACAACGCACTGGGGAGAGTGGATCACTAGCTGGGAACAAGCAATGCGAATCGCGAAGCTCAGAGGAGTGGCCGAAGCAATGCACCCAAACACGTGGTTCGACGACCTAAGAGAAGCCCTTGACGACCACTTTGAAGTATTTATGCGAGTCGAGGAAGGGCAAAATAAAGGGAAGATTGAGAATGGGACCTACCAACCATTGAACTTCTCTGCCCAATTCCGACAAGAACTTCAGACCAGCCAAAAGCCTGACGAAACGGAGGAGGCACCTCCAATCACTGAGGAGAGCCTCAGATCGATGAAACGAAGCTCGAGCCACGAAGACGAAGACAGAAGCCCGTCGCCAGATGGCAGAGCAACAGAGAGACCTGCGAAGATTCGTCGCCGGTCTCAAGGATTGCAAGAGGAGTGCATACTCTGCGAAAGGATACATAGACACCCAAACACAAAGTCGTGCTGGGTGGCTTTCCCAGAAGGAGCACCAGATAAGTATCAACCATCCGAGAGACAGATAGATCAGTGGGAAAGACGACTAGAAGAGAATGAGGAAGTGCGAGAACTCTACAAGAGACTTCAACAAAGATGAAGAGACTTGAAAGAGAGGTCGGCTTACCCATGTCTCTCTAGGACGATCGAACTAAAAGAAGGCCCCTGAATCTGAGCTTACGAGCTGCTAATGAACCAAACAGACCTCGTTGACGTTAGAAGCACGAGACGGCCCCAGAAGGCAAGAAGAGAGACCCACGGGTCAAAGACCATCTGAAGGATCTGCCTAGCATCAAGTTCAAAGGAAGGATTTGTTTATGGCACCAGGTTCAGATGATCTTGAGACAATTAAGAGAAGGCGATGTGTCTGTCGAGGTTTGAACCTAGAGTGCGAGGCGCAAAAGACTCAAATGACGCTCATTCCCGACAGACAAGAGGCCACTGAAGGATCTGCCTAATGCATCAAGTTCAAAGGAAGGATTTGCTTACGGCACCAGGTTCAGATGGTAGTCTAGTCGGATCAGGTCTGAGGCAGAGATCAAGACGCTGAGACCACCTAGGAGGAGGCCAGAGCGACAGGGCATCTCGAACAACAAGATCAATCGAGGAAGCCCAAGAAAGAGATGCAGATACACTGCACGAGACTCATCTTGAGGTTTTGAACCTCGCAACTACATGACGACAAGACCAACGAACAAGCGCACGGCGCACCGACTCAAGAAGCTACGAACACAGTCAGAAGAACAGCGATACCGACTCTCGAGATGCAGAAGGCAGGCATTCCAGGATGAGGCTAGGGATAGTCAGACTGTCAAGGGATTTCCAATCTGGGGGGGTGTGTTGAACCGAACCTATCATGCACACGCACTTCGGATACGGGTTACGAGCCTCGGAAGGGATAAATAAGGTCATGTGACTAAGGCTAGTCTCAAAGAGGGATAGCGCAAGGCATCAGATGAAAAGAGGGGAAGGTCAGATAATGCCACATCAGAAAAAGCTCGATCAATCAAGCAATTGAGGCCACAGCCGGTTCAACATGACCTTATTTAAACAGCCGGTTGTTCATGCATGAGGACCCGCGTCAAGGGGGGAATTATACTATTGATAAGTCGGGCTTATCCTTGAACCTGTGTGTATTGCTCGTGTTGTTGTGTCGGAAAGTAACCACTAGGCCAAAAAGCATGGCGCGCCACTCTAGTTAGTGGTGCTTCCCTTATGGCCTACTATCTCTTTGAGTGCGCGAAGACTCCCAACGCATACCGGACAGGGGTTTGGTCCAATCAAAATGGAGCTTACGAGAGGTACTTCTTTTCCCACCTAAATTCTATGGTGATATAAGTCAAAGCAGTACGATGAGTTATATAGTGCAACATTGCAAAGCTCACAGCCGTACCTTGATTTGGGCACCTTCCTTTTCCCCCTGTTCCCGTTAATCTCCCCCAAGGCCTTCTCTTTTGCTTGTGACCTCACAACACCACAGCGATGGCCCTGACAGGCGTGACAGGCAGAGTGCTTGGTGCGGCCTCGATAGCTAAGCTTATAGCCCGGGTGATTAAGGTCTTCGTTGCCGGCCCTATATCGCTTCCTTCCATGAAAATCGGGACTAAAGGTCGCGATGAGGGCATCTATAAGGCAGCCTCGCCACGCCTCTTGCGACTTATATCTCTTCTAACTTAGGCTGCCGTGAAGTTGAAGAAGATAGCTATTAATAAGGGCAATGTTAAATAAGAAGGTCTTGTCAAGCGGGATCCTATACAATAGCTCGAAGGGTAGTCACATAAGACCCGTGGCCGGCTAATCTCCGGCTACGCGGCTACGCTAGTCCCAATCCGGAAGGCCACATCGCGGCCCAGAAGGGAAAGAGGGAATAGCCTCAGGGATAATAATAATAAGCAATTATAATAAATTAAAAGATAAGCCTATAATTAAATAATTAAAAATATTATATACTAATTAAAGAGAATTAATTAAAGAGTAAACTAAAGAGCTTTTACTAAGTAATCCCTAAATAATAATAATAAATATAAATACTAAGCTAGCCTCTAGTAATAATTAGGTAGCCTAATATAATATCCTTAAGGTAAAAATAAAGAACTAAGACCTATAGGATTATATTGACCTATTAGCTAAAAATAAGCTAATTCTTATATTAATCCCTCTAGTAAAGCTAAAGGTATAAAGCTTAAAGAAAAGAGGATTTAAAATAAGGTTATAAGGGAATAATAAGATATTATTAATATAAGGCTTAAGTAATACCTTTTAAGAAGAAAATATTATCCTTAGAGATAATATTAATAAAAGCTTAAGAGCTAAGGCTATCTTTAACCTTATAGCGGGCTAGCTATAAACTTATAGCTCTCTTTAGACTTTCTATAAGTATTTTTACTTAGAGTATATAAACTTAAAAAAAAGAATTATTAAGATATAAGATTAAGTCCTAGAAATAATTAATAAGCCCCTTATTTATTATTATTACTTAGTAAATAATACTTTTAATTAATAAGTTAAGTCCTTATATAAGGAATTCTTATTTATAGCGATAAAATAAAAAAAAAGGTAAAAAAGAAATATAAAGATTACTTAATTAAGGCTTATTAAGGCTACCTAAATATAATCTAATTTATTAATAAGTAAATTATTAGCTAATATAATCTAATTAATAAGGTAAAGGATATAAACTTTTAAGAAACTAAAGAGGTAAATTAATAATTCTTAGACCTCCTTAAAGTATTTTATTTATTTCTCTTTAAGTCTTAGATCCTTACTTATAATATTATAAAATAAAATTATATAAGAGAGAATACCCTTATAATAGCCCTTATAGTTATAGATATAAGGATAGCCCTAAGTAACCTTTAAGAACCTCTAAGGAAGGGAAGAATTAAGCATAGAGCCTTCCTAGCGGCTAATAGAGAATAATTAAAGAATAAAGAGGAGCCCTAATAAAAGAAAAGCTAGCCTAAAATAATACTAAAGAGAAAAAAAAAATTAAAGATATTAGAGATATAAGGAAGTAATTAATATACCTAGCCTATAATAGCCCTTACTTATTAAAGAATTATTATAATATTTTCTTAGAGAAAAAGTACTAAGGTTATATATTAAATATTATTAGGGAGGAAATAATAAAAAAAAAATAATCCTTAATACTAATAGCCTAGCTAATAAGATATAAAAGATTAAGATAAAAGGATTAGCCTAATTAAGACTAATTAGCTTTAATAGCTACTTAATTACCCTTATAACCGCTAATTATTATCCCCTCTGGGATTATATTTTATTAGACTTAGGGGCTACCTTATATATCTTTAGGGATACCTTAAGACTTAAGAACCTAAGGGTAGCCTAAATAGGTAACTTTTTCTAATTAAGGACTAACTAGGTACTTATTAATAGGTATATAGAGGCTATAATTATATTAAGAATAGCTAAAAGGGTAAAGAGGAGATTATAGCTCTGAGATATAGCTTATTGCCCTAGCCTTATAATAGACCTAGTATTTTTCTTAAAGCTATAGAAATAAGGCTTTTAGTAAGATATAAAGCTAAGAAAGAATTACCTAAGGAAAATAAATAAAAATTATTTAAGAGAGATTAAAGAGATTTAAAGATAATAAGTTCTTAAATATAGAGATAAGCTAGTATAAGGCTAAATAGCTCTAATAGGGCTAATAGCTAACTAGGCGCTAAAACCTTTTTTATTAAAACCCCCTTAAAAGAGGACTTATAGATATATAAGTTATATAATATAGAGGCTACTAAGAGGAGATTCCCTTATATAATATAAAAGGCTTAAATACTTAAGGCTAAATATCCTTCGCTACCTTATTATAGCCTTAAGGGGCATAAAACTATAGATAAATACTCTATAGGGGCTAAAAAAGATTATTATTATTAATTATAATACCTATAATATAATAAAGGCATAAAGGATAATCTAGAGGACCCTATAGGAATTAATTAAGGAGATAAGCCTAAGAGAATATATAGCGCTAGACTTTTACTTAATAACTTAAGGCTATAGCGGCTATATATCTATCTAGATCTATATTAATAAGGTATTAGGCTACTTATAGGATTACTATATACTAGACCGCTATATAGAAATTATACTCTCGGCGATAAAAGAGTTTCTTAAGCTCCTAGAGGTATAATATATACTTATAGTAAAGGTATTTAAATATAATAATAAGATTATAGAGATATACCCCTAAGTAATAGCCTACCTCCGAGAGAGAGGTATTAAATATAAACCCTTAGCCCTTAATATATAGGTATAGAATAGAGGAGCTAAGAGGGTTAGTATAATTATTATCTAAAAGGGTAAAATATTAAAAATAAAAGCTAAGCTCTTAGAGTACTTATAGCTAGAAATAATAAAAGCGGCTATATACTTATATAATTATATACTATTAATATAAAGAGGAAAAAAATTACCCTATAAGATCTTTTATTTATAGTATTATATTATTAAAATAATAAAACTAGATCTCTTTTATCTCTAAGCTTTTAGGTATAAGGCTTATACCCTTATTATTAATACTTAGCTATAAAAGAATTACTTATA